ACCCCATCCCCTCCCAGGGTGTGCATACCAGCAAGAGCCACCTCTGCTGCCCCTGGACAAGCCAGTTGTGGCTCCATCCTGTGCCCCATCCTAGCTGTGCAATGCCTGCCCCAGCCCCACTCTTTCCCACACTGTAGGGGGCCTCAATCTGCACCCCCCTTAAATGCAAGCAAACAATAAGGGGTACAGAAGCTGAAACTGAGTTAGAAGGGGAACATTTATTTTAAAAGGCTGAAAACCCCTGTTTTAGGTCATTCCCCAGGACCAGGAACCTTTTCTATCCCCCTAGTTCCTGCCCTTTACCTCCAGGTGTTCTGAGAGCAGTACCTCCAGCCAGGTGATGTTGTTCTTTCGGCTCCTTGCAGCAACTGCTGGCTGTACTGCTCAGGGCCTGCTCTTATTCCCTAGCACCTAGGCCCTCCTTCCAATCAGGCAACCTCTTGCTGGCCATGTGACTTTCCTGATCGGCAGTGCAGTCACCTGCAGGCTGCTCTGCTCAGGCCCTTAAAGTGGCAGGCACCAAAGGTGCCCTGACCCATACAGGTGATTAGATTTCATCCCATTGCTTGTAGTTGAGCTAGAACCCATTCTTTATTTAAAGGGGAAAAAAGCCATCCAATCTAGATTTTAAAACTTAGGGAATGAAAACAATTCACTACATTCTTTGGTTAGCTGTTCTAGGGTTTCATTTTCTTAACTTAAAATTTGCACATTATATTTTGCTTTGTATTCCAACCATTGTATTCTGTTATGTTTGTTTGTCAGATTTAAAAATTCTGTCCTATTAGGAATGTCCCCTTCTCATAGGAACTTACAGAGCTGACTATCACAGTCTAACATGATATTATTTCATTTAAAATGCATAATCTAAGTCTACTGTAAGGCATGTTATCTAAATCGTAAATAATTATGTAACATACTTCTGTATCCCTTCCAATGAACTTCCTCTAAAGATAGATCAAATGCATGTCTGAGATGGTTCTCACCCTCGTTAGATTGAAGGTGCAGCTTGGAAGTGTTTTTTAAAAGTCTGATTAATTGAACCTTTCCATGTTTGTATGAAAAACCCATACGAGACTTTTTTTTGCTGCCTCTTGATACAATAAGCATTTTTGTTTAAACTCACGTAGTTTTGTATTGAAGGGTCTATAGCACTGTGTAGTTCAGTGTGGATCTACACACAAGTTTACTGGTTTTAAGCAGTAAGATGACTTGCCAGCAATATGAAAACAGTGTAAGGACTATTTCTTAATCTGTGCCCTGAGGGGTTATGTGGAACGGCATAGAAAACACTAATTGAAAATATACCCATAGTGTAGTGTGGAGGAAATCGAAGGATGGTGATTATGCCTTCAAGGTTTTTCTGTACATTGGCTTCTCTCTGACTTTTCACTTAGCAGACATAAAGTTTCTGAACTGAAAGTGAAAGTTGTAAGTTGCTGCAGCATGATGGCTCACTTGGAATAAATATCATATGTCCATGTTTTAAGATGAAGACTCAACCAGATACATTTTTGGGTTTCCAGACTCAATTTTGCAGTCTATATATTATTGGTCAGAGGACAAATTCTTTATGCATGTTAATAAGATTGTATGCAAACTGGCAACATGTCATTCTAAATCCAGTTTTTTCCTGTACCCTGCTTGCTCAGCTGTATAGAAAGCTCTTTCCAACAATCTATCGTAACCTTCTGTTCTCAGGAAGTTGGAAGAGTGGACAAAATCAACAAGTTCAGGAAATCTTTTAGAATTTACAAATATTAAAAGGGAGATGGTGATCAATGAAACCTTAATGTGGTTCTACTAGCTGGTATTTTGGAAGAAAGATTAAGGCAAGAGCAAAGCCAGCATGACAGATGCGATTCTTGATTTCTCTATAAACATAGGGATGAGCCTCATGCAACTATTAGTTTGCAAATAGGTTTGGAGGGGGTATGATAGCAATCTACCCTGCAAAGGCTAGCTATTGTTCAGGGCTCTTGGTTAAATAAGACCAGAGCCTCTGCACTCTTCCCTATGCATGGGTTCTACCACTGGATCTATGAAAGTATGGATCTAGTAGGCACACCCCTTCCACAGCATGTGCAGAGGAGTGGAGGGGTCTGCTGCCTTGGCACATGTGAGGTAGAGACGTCTCATCTCTGTCCCCAGTAGATGCACATGTCCATCTGTCTGCTCTTCATCAATTTTATGTACTTGAGTATCATGGGTGTAGTTAGAAGGCCTTTGCCAATGAGTAAATTTTGTCTGGTTCATTTTAACTGCATACTTAGAAGATTTACTAAGGAGGTTTAGTCAGCTATATAGTATGTTATACATACTGTATATTCTACAATTGGAGCACAAATAGATGCTGATTTTTTATAATAGGGTATTGTTACATGTGACCAATACAGATGCCTGTTCCTGTTTCCAGATTGTGGGTATGCAGAGGACCAATGCACTGAAGTTACTGCTTTATAAAAGGTAGTTTACATTGGCACCAACTCCCTAGAAAACTTAAAGAATAGCCTGCAGAGCACTTAGCATTGCATAGTAAATGGAAAGGCCAAACCAGTTCTGTACATGTCCTTGAGGTTCCTTAACAGCATGGGTCACTATGTCTCCTGGTCACTCCCTGGTATTGTTGTCTGTATTCGTTCCAGGCAATGCAGTTGGTATATTTTCTGGTGTTGTATTTTAGAAAGGTGCTGAGTGGTTGTTGTTCCTTCATTTTCAGTAAATTGTAATTTAGCACTTTTTTCCATGGACACTGAATGAGATGAACATGCAATATCTTTTTGCTTCTCTCATTCTGTATATCAGGCTTTGCCAATTTTAATTCAGGGTGTTATACTGAGTATTTGCATGATAATTTTTCCACTTGAGATCCAAGAACAGAAGGCCCATCTTTGATCTCTTGCCAGTAAGCCCCAAGAGGCATTGATCTTCCTTTGGTGCAAACGCCTGCTGAGTTCCCAAAGCAGTGGTGCCCAAATACAATGGGACAGATGCAATTGCCTTTTGGTTTCTGAATGGTATTTGCAGACCCTGCAGAATGTGTATATGTGTTATAGATACAGCTTCATTTGGATAACCAGGGTGCCATGGGGCAAACTGGGACTAGGGATGGTGGGCTGAAGGCTCTTAATGCTTCCAAACAAGTAGGTGTTGCCATAGACAATGCAGGACATGGCCTGAGAGGTGGATTTCTTTCTATTCAACATCTGCATAATCCCTGGCACAGTGTCCAACTCCATGAAGTATGTGTTTGTAAAAGAATGTCCCTCCTGGTGACTTGCTCTAGAAATTGTCTTGTAGAAAAGGGGAGCAAAACTATTGTTTTTTTTTTACCACATGGCAGTTCTCTCTCTCCAGTCCTCTGTATATTCTGCATTTGGAAAGCCCAGTGTCTTAAAAAAAAAAAGTCCCGTACCTAAAATGCTGCCTAGAGATTGGCAGCATGTTTTGTGCTATCTGTTAAAGGCTTATTTCCTACCACCCCAAGGGGTGTTCAGGAATACAGACTGGCTGAATCCTTGGCAACCTATCAATGAGGACCAACTGTAGAGTTTAACACTACATGTACTTTGTCTTGTTTCTGTTGGCTGGTAACGCCCAACTCTCTCTTTCCAGCCGGCAGCAATGACCCAGAGTTACCAAGGCACAATTCAAGCTGCTCTGAACTTTGATGCTGGGAAAGATGCAGAAATACTGCGCAAGGCCATGAAGGGATTTGGTAAACAAAGATTGGTACAGATTTTAAGTGTACAGGGATACTGAGTCAAGAAGCATTTTCCTTTTCTTCTCATTGTATAGATTTAGGATACCTGTTTTTCCTAAAGGATTCTAAGTCTTATTTTCAGAAGTGCCTTTAGCTTAAAGCATTTAGCTGCTTTTGAAAATTTTACCATTTAAGCTCATGTATTATTTGTCAATAAATTTCTGTAAATGTGCACTATATCCAGAGAGTGAAACACAGCATTTTGTAGGATATTTATGTTTTCTCATAAAGTTACTTTGTTTCCTAGGAACGGATGAGAAAGCTATCATTGATGTCGTGGCTCACCGCTCCAGTGATCAAAGGCAGAAAATCAAGGCAGCTTTCAAAACCATGTATGGCAAGGTATGTTTTTGCTCACTGGCCACTGTTTGAATCAGTTAAAAAGAAAACAAAATTAAGTAGCAACACGATAACTGGCCCCTTGCAAATGTTGTATTTAAGATGTGATTAACCTGTTAATCACCAACAGTAACCTAGACACATGTTCAGGCAGTTAGTAATGTGACAAAACAGGGAAACCAGTCACAAAAATGTGCATTATTTTTGTGGCTGGTTTCCATTGTGCCTTGAATTGAACATGTGGCAGGGTCCCCACCATGCAGCCTGCATTTTGCGGCTTGGTTGGCAGCTCTTCTGAGACTGCAGGCTGACAGTGTTGCAGTGCAGCCCTGCATAGGACTGCACCTCACTGTTTGTAGGGTGCTGAGTCAAAGGAAGCTCATTAGCTGGGTTGAGGTGCCAGGTCATGGGAAGCCACAGAACTCCCTACAACCCAGCAGGTTGACTGCCCTGTGCTCTAGTTCTCAGACAGCAGTGAAGCAAGGCACTTGACACATCCCGGCCACAGGGACCCTAGGACTGGGGAGAAGTTCCCTGATTTTGGGGTCCCCCTGAAAAACCATGTGTGCAGCATAGCTGCACAGACCAGTTTTTTCTGAAACCCCTGGATCATGGGGACCCTTGGTTTGAGGAACTTCTGGATTCCAGTGTGCTGGGACTTAACAAATAAATAAAAATGTGCAGCTGGTCTGCATGCCAGGCTCTCTGACATCCTGGTACATGGGGATCTGGGAACTGCACCAGAGTCTCCACCTGCCTCTGGGTACAATCCTGGGGCTAGGACAAGTTTACACCAGGCTGCGGGCACTCGGCTTTTAACTTGCTGGTGCTAGGAGAGCCTGGGATCATGATTCTGGGCTCTCCCTGCACTGGCAAGTAGTAAAGGCATGATTGGGATCTGATCCTTTTTCCCAAAAATGTGCATCCCACAACACGTGTAGCACGGCAAGAGGTGTTATTGTTGGGATCAAGGATGAGATTCTATCATGCCATTAAGTGAACACTGTATGAAGCCATGTTGTCTGCATTTGTTTTTTAGTCCCAGGCAGAACGTACCTGACTTCTGTATTGTTTTTAAAGGTATTGCATATAGTTACCTATGTTCTTGCTCTGTCAGTAGCTCCAGGTGAATACCTCTGACCGATGATAGGACTTCTTCAAGCAGTCATGACCGAACAACAATAGCTTCCTATATTTTTATAAATCTTTTAAAGGGCAGAAAATACTCCAGTTCAAACTACTCTTAAATGGGAGTGATCACAAATCCCTGCAGAT